GTGTGTGTGCGTTGTGTACGTGTGTACACAAACGGAATAGTGAATATAAGTCCACTTAAGCTGATAGTCAGATATGCATAATAAATGCCTTATTTCTGTTCTGTTCATATTGCAGTCAAACATCGGGCTTATCTACTTATCTACTTATCACAGTACGCAGGTTAGAGTATTTCAAATATATATATATATTTTTTATTTTATTGATTTTGATTTATAACAGTCGTTCGGTGCAATGTATGTTGATGACGCTTCTTTTGGTTATTATGATAATTAAGCACAAGTTTTAATGATAATAAAAAGTTCACTAGCTCTCATCTAACATAAACGTTCTACGTCTACAAAATATACAAAATAAATAGAGATAAGAGGATGTAAAAATAATTCTAGAGAAAAAGAAAAAAACTCACAACAGAAATAACATATTGTAGAAAATATTTTGCCAAGAAGGAAACTAGACTGAAAACAGGTTTGATTTATTCTTGATTTTCAAACCTGTTTAATGTATGTACATATTTACACGTAAATCTTTCCGGTACATATGGTATAAATCAGTATGTAATATTCCAAGTATAAAGAGGAAAGATTTATTGTCATGGCATCTCTCTCTGTCTCGCTCTCTCTCTCTCTCTCTCTCTCTCTCTCTCTCTCTCTCTCTCTCTCTATTCAGCTGTTATTTCCTCAGTCTATCTCTTTGTCACTGTGTCTGGATCCGTCTCGTCATGTGTCTGCCTGTCTGTCTGTATGTCTGTCTCACTTTTTCCCCTCAATCTCTCTATCATCATTTCTATCTATTTTACCCTTTCTTTCCATGCCTTCTCTTCCTGCCACCCCTTCCGTTTCTTCGGGAGAAGAAAATGCCCCTTACAGTCTAGCAATGAAAGTTTCAATCAAATTATCGTGTTTCCTCGTAAAGGACTTGGTAATGTCATCGATCCGCTGCTCCTTCAGTTCTCGGAAGCACACAAGGACGAATATGTAGCCGGCGACGCAGACGACGCAGTGGAACCAGAAGATGCCCCCGGTCGCTACGGCAATGCGGATCTTGTGGAATACCACGTCGACGGCGAGCATGGACGACCACATGACCATGGACGCCGCGGACACGCCGATCCACTTCTGGCGGGAGCCGAAGATCTCCCCGAGGGTGACCCAGGCGATGGGCCCCACGCCCGTCCCGTGGGCGAACGTGAACAGGACCACGCAGAATACCTCGGCGATCCACTGGTACGTGAAGTAGTTCTCTACTTTGTGCAGGTCCTTGAGGAAGAGGAAGAGGCCGAGCACGAAGGCCGAGGCCGCCATGATGGTGAGGGAGAGAAGCAGGAGGAGCTTCCTGCCAATGTGGTCGACGAGCAGAGCCGAGAGGGTGATGGCGACGATAAGCACGACCGTCACGATGAAGTAGGCCGCGTTGTTGTACGAGCTCGAGATCTTGGAGAAGAGTTCCATTCCGTAGAGCGTAAAGCTCGCCACACCGGTCATGTTGTAAAGGAACATGAGGCCGCAGGAGATAAGCAGCGGGCGCCAGAACGTGGGTCGGATGAGGTCCTCGCAGGCGATTCTCCACCGGTCGATTTCGCAGCTGTTGGTGATCTCGTGATATTCCTCCATGACGTCGTTGTCGACGCCCCGCAGCCACTGGAGTGTCGAGAGCGCGTCGTTGGGGCGAACGTGAATGAGGAACCTTGGCGACTCCGGCAAGCACAGCACAACCGACACGAAGAAGGGCATCGTCGTGCAAATCCCAACAATCGCCAGGTTCTTCCACACCAGGATCTCGCCCAGCAAGAAGCACAGAAGACTACCAACCTGGCGGGAAATGTGAAGCTAATTAATCCTTTCATATCTCGACTGAGACAAAACTACAAATCTGTAGAGTGTCTCAGTGTAAGACTCACATTATGCCACCAGTATAAACATCCCACCTCAATATAACCATACTACCTTGCTACAACAGGATCAAATGATTATTCAAATTCCAATATACCAATTCCTAAAACAGTCTTTGAAAGCGAACAATACCTGGAAGGCGAGAAGCGGAGCCGAGGAGATGGCACCCCTGATCCTTGGTACCGATACCTCAGCCACATACACCTGCGCGATGACCATGATGATGCCAGTACACACGCCCGACGTTGCGTGGAACAAGAACACCATCCACACCTGTTGATTGAGAGGAAGGATAAAAGCAGAGGAAAGAGATTTTGACGATGACGAAAGGAGAAAGGAAAGATAGAAAATACACACGGTGCATGAAGGGGATAATAAAAAATGGATAGAAATGCATTATAATAAAATAATAGGGAGAAAAATTAAGAACGAAAAAAGAATATCGTAACTGGAGAGAAGGACAATAAAAATAGAAGAAATGAAGGGAAGAAGACGCATATATTATATAAAAAAGAGAATGATAAACACAAACATAAAACGTAGACGGTCAAATGGGTAAAGATGCACGCGTATAATAAAAAAGAGAAAGGAGATAACAAGCCGATAGTTAAATAAAAGATACATACGTTACATAGAAAAGACAACTTTAAAGAAAGGAGATCCAAAGGGAAGAATAGAAATAAAAAAAGATGCAAACGTTAGATAAGGAAGCCAAAGAAAGACGAAATGAAAGGAAGAAGACTAGAACGAGAAGGGGAGAAGAGAAAAGGAGAATGGATAAAAAAAGAAGGAAGGATAACGGATATTTGTCTGGTTTGCTGTGAAAGATGAAGGACGTTTGCTATTCCATCAAAAATTCAAAGGAAAAATGTGTGTGTGGGAGAGAGAGAGAGAGAGAGAGAGAGAGAGAGAGAGAGAGAGAGAGAGAGAGAGAGAGAGAGAGAGAGAGATGGATGAATGGAAAGATGGATGGATGGATGAATGAATGAATGAATGAATGGATGGATGGATGAATGGATGGACGGATGGATGGATGGGAGGGAGGGAGGGAGGGTGGATTTAGGGAAAGAAGGAATGAAGAAAGGAATATAGGAAGGGAGAAAGTCGATTGGAAAAAAGGGAGGGGAAAAGGAAAGAAGGAAGGGAAGAAGAAGAGAAAGGAGGAAGGAAAGGTGGGAATGAAGATACGAGGAAAGGAGGGAGAGAAATAGAGCATAAGAGTAATAAATAGAATTGAAAAATGACGACTTCAAACTATGATATTACTTTCATATTTCATCTATAATAAATGTCCAGTGCCTGTGAGAAATGATAGGATCGGAAGATGAGTAAAATGGGGGGAAGGGAAAAGAAAAGGAGGAAAGGGAAAGGCAGGAGGACAGTGAGAGGTGAGGAAGGGCCTGTGAAGGAGAAAAGAAGATAAAGAGTAGGAGAAGGAGATGTGAGGAAGATCCAATTCAGGCAGATAATAAAAGATGGAGCTAAAGAATGGTGAAACAGGGTCAGTGGAGGAGAGAAGAGGAGGGAAAAATAGAAGAAAAAAAAAGAAAAATGAAGAGCGAGGAAGGACCAGAGAGCGAGAAACAAAATGGGAGAACGAGAATGAGGGATACGAAAAGGACATGGAATGAAAATAAGAGAAAATGAAGAGAAAGTGGAATGAGAAAACGTCGTCTTGGGGAACTGACCTGCAAGGCGAAGATAACGAAGAGCCAACTCAGTGCCAAGGGAACCATCGTCAGGAGCAACACGACCTTCCTGCCGTAGTTGGCCAGACACCCGGAGAAGAAGCCTCCTGCGAGACATCCTGAAGGAGGACAGATTGGGTTAGTGATTGGTGAAGAGACGTCAGATTCGGTTAGTGATTGGCAAAACGACGTTGGATTGGATTAGTGATTGGTCAAGAGACGTTGCATTGGGTCTGAATCAGTGAATGATTTCTTGGATTGGTGACTTTTTTATATAATGAATGACTAAAATTAAGAAAAGGACATTCAAATAGTAAATGATAAGTGAAGTAAGTAAGTTACAAAGCTGTTATTAGGATGCTTCTTGTCGAGCCTTGAGAATTTTAAAGTGAAATGATGACGACTCAAAAAAGGAAAGAAAAAAAACGGCGCATTAAGCATTAAACCGAGCTTAACAAATATAAAAATGGTTTATGCCAGGTGGCCCTTTTTTAACCAAATAAAGATACTAAACTTTTGATTTTTCGTATCAGTATTATAGATTATATAAAATCTACGCAAAATTTATTTGTTATTAAACTTTTTAGCTATATATGTATATCTTTTTCAATATAGGTCACATGATGACTACTGTAAACATTTCAATATTTTGTGGATATACCCTAATGAACACACAAAAAAGTAGATCACATATAATCAAATCTACACAAACTACAAGGCATAAATATTATTAGCTTAGACATTGACACACATAAAGAAGACCGCCACATGTATCACATGAACAATATACAACGTAAACATAGTATGTGATTTAGATATACGAAAAAAAAAACAAAAACAAAAAACATTGTCACTACAGAATGCATATATTCTCGCACAGAACAAGATATTCAGTACAAAGACTACATCAAATTAGTTCAATTAAAGCACACGTACATGAAGAAACATTTGTCATTGTGAATACTCGAACACAATTATAGGGAACACAATACTTAACACAGACACAAGAACATTAATTCTTCACAAAGAACACAGTCTTAAAAACCGGAACCACACAATTGAATCTATATATATCACACTATCTCTAACAGAGGCATTCAACCACCATAACAGAAAAGGAACTTGAAAAAATAAATCAATGAATATATAAAGAAAAAAATAACAAATAAAAAAAGAATAAATAAGTAAATAATAAAAATATAGAAACAAACTCACGCAATTATCACTCACGCAAAAAGGTACAGTCACAGGCACAAAATCTCACGCCCACTGCAACCAAAGAGACTTACCCAGCAGGTACACGTAGGTCTTCCACGCCCCTAGGGAAGGTCTCATCAGCTCTGCCGGGTTCTTCGTCATGTTGTAGGCGAGGGCGAAACCACAGGCGAGGGGGCCCAGACAACAGGCAAATGTCACTACCACCTGGGCGAAAATATGACGTGAAGTGGTTGGGGTATGGGTGAGGGTGAGGGTGAGGGGTGAGGGTGAGGGTGAGGGTGAGGGTGAGGGTGAGGGTGAGGGTGAGGGTGAGGGTGAGGGTGAGGGTGAGGGTGAGGGTGAGGGTGAGGGTGAGGGTGAGGGTGAGGGTGAGGGTGAGGGTGAGGGTGAGGGTGAGGGTGAGGGTGAGGGTGAGGGTGAGGGTGAGGGTGAGGGTGAGGGTGAGGGTGAGGGTGAGGGTGAGGGTGAGGGTGAGGGTGAGGGTGAGGGTGAGGGTGAGGGTGAGGGTGAGGGTGAGGGTGAGGGTGAGGGTGAGGGTGAGGGTGAGGGTGAGGGTGAGGGTGAGGGTGAGGGTGAGGGTGAGGGTGAGGGTGAGGGTGAGGGTGAGGGTGAGGGTGAGGGTGAGGGTGAGGGTGAGGGTGAGGGTGAGGGTGGGGGTGGGGTGAGGGTGAGGGTGAGGGTGAGGGTGAGGGTGAGGGTGAGGGTGAGGGTGAGGGTGAGGGTGAGGGTGGGGGTGGGGTGAGGGTGAGGGTGAGGGTGGGGGGTGGGGGTGGGGTGAAAGTAGGGGTGAGGGTGGGGGTGGGATCAGGGTGAGGGTGTGGGTAAGCGTGGGGTTTGGGGGTGGGGGTGGGGGGTGGGGTGAGGGTGAGGGTGAGGGTGAGGGTGGGGTTGAGGGTAAGTTGGGGGTTTGGGAGTAGGGTGAAGGTAAGGATAGGGGTTAGGGTGAGGGTGGGGTTTGGGGGTAGGAGAGAGGGTAGCGTGGGGTGAGGGTGGGGTTTCGGAGTTGAGGGAGGGGTTTAGGGGGTGAGGTTTGGGTGGGGGTGGGAGTGAGGGTGGGGATGAGGGTGAGTGAGGATGAGGATGAGGGTGAAGATGAGGGGTGTGATCATGAAGGCTAACGTGAGGGTGGGGTTAGGGTGGGGGTGATGGTGGGGATCGCGATGTGAGTGAAGGTAAGGATTAGGGTAATAAGGGTACAGCAGAAAATGGGGTGTACGGGTGAGTGGATGAGAAGAGGAAGAGTGAAAGTGAAGATAAAGGGATGGAGGTCATTAGGGAGGAAAAAGTGAAGGAGGAGGAAGAGGAGGAGGAGAGAGTCCGAAGGAGGAGGAAGAGCAAGATAAGCAGGACAACGAGCGAATGAGGGGGATGAGAAAAAATTATGAATTGGGGGTCAATACAGGAGATGAGGAGGGTGGAGGATAAGAAGAAGGAGTAGGGGAGATATAAATACGAATAAGAAGTGAGGGAAAACCAGAGGGAAAACTGGAATACGGGACGAAAAATGGAGAGTGAAGAAAGGCTAATGAAGCATGATAGAAGAAGGGAAAAATGGTAAGAAGGGAAATAGGAGATAACAAAGAATGAAAGATGAACGAGAGAAAAAAAATAAGACTGATAAGTGGGAAAGTAAAGATGCGAAGACACTGGAAATGAAAGAAGAGAAGAGAAAGGAAGAAAAGACAGCAAAGAGGAAGATAACATAATAAAAACGGGCACTCGAGATGAGCAAGCAGTTAACAAGCAGAAAAAATGAGTAGACCAACTAAGGAAATGAGAGTAAGAGGAATAAGCACAGATAAGAAGATGGGATAGACGAAGAATGCAAAAAATAAAGGAGACAGCTCCTTGTGCGCCTTCATATAATTATCTGTATTCTCGCTTTTGTAGAGCTAGTCGAGCGAATAGCATAAATGAAAGAAAATACCGAATGAAGGACTAAAAGAGAAGATGAATAAACAGACAGACAAACGAGGGACATAGCAAGGTAGATAAAAAAAACAGAAATAGGACACGGTAGATAGAATGAATAAATGATACATGAAAATAAAGAATATATCGTTAACAGTATAGTAAACAGACAGATTCTTAGCAGCAGGAAATAAATAGTCGAGGAGATATTGAAGAACAGACCGTAGAAATGGTGAGATGGTGGAGATAGGAAGTAGAAATAGTAGATGAGCTAGGTAGATAATAAACATGGATGATAATGTAGATAGATAGCAGAAACAGTAGATGACGCAGGTAGATTGTAGAAACATTAGAGGTAGAGAAGGGGGAGGAGAAGGAAGAGGAGGGGAAGAGAAGAGGTGGAGGAGGGGGAGGAGGAGGAGGAGGAGGAGGAGGAGGACGAGAAGGAGGAGAAGGAGGAAGATGAAGAGGTGGACAGAAGGAGAAGGAGGAGGAGGACGAAAAGGAAGAGGACGAAGATGTGGAGAGGAAAATGAGGAGGAGGAGGAGGAGGAAGAGGAGTACGAGAAGGAAGAGGATGAAGAGGTGGAGAGATATACAGGAGGAGGAGGAGGAGGAGAAAGAGGAGGAGGAGGAGGAGGAGGAGGAGGAGACGGAGATGGAGGAGCACGAGAGAGAGAAGAAGAAGGAAGATGAAGAGGTGGAGAGAAGGAGGAGGAGGAGGAGGAGGAGGAGGAGGAGGAGGACGCGGAGGAGATAAAGATGAGATGTGGAAGCAACGATGTGTATCTCG